ATATAGGTTAAATAAGCAGGGTGACAGTATACAGCCTTGTCGTACTCCTTTCCCTATTTTCTTGGTTCTTACATGCCTATTTTCTTCTCGTTCTTACATGCCAAAAGCTATAAAACATGGGTTATAACAACGACTAGATAAACATGCTAAGCGAAAACCGTATTTGTTTAGCTCAGGGATAGAAAGTCTGCAGTCCCTAGAGCATCATCAAATCATATTGCTAAAATTCTGCAGCAATACAATTCTGCAGTGGCCATCTTTCCACTGTGATTAAAACAAAAATAAAAATGGATATTCTGTGACCTTGGTCCTATGCTCAAGCACATCTACCTGATGTCATTACCCAACACACACCCTGTGCTCCTCAAAGGTTAATATAGCTTTTTAACAATTTGCCAACTACTGGCTTTGTACAACTGTGAATCTAACCAATAAATGCCACATTGATGCATAGCTTAGTGCAATGTATAAATCAGGATTTTTTAAATGATATACCTACTTCAAAAAGCAAATGGAAAGCAACTGCAAGGTGTAGGAGCCATAGTGAGGAGCCATGTGCTACAGGACCCTGTTTTGCCTCCCTGAGCAAACACACTCAAATGTACTGTCCTTTTCCAGTGTTAAGTAAAGTTAAATCATTAGTCCCATCCAGTCAGCAACAGAAGACATCATCTTGTCCTTTGTCTCAAGCAACAGAACAGGAAAAGTCCAACTCTTTCATTGAAGCATTTACAAAGGCCATGCCTTCAGCTTTTGACAAAGGCCTCCATCAGAAGTGTGCCTCTTTCTGGTGCAGTAGTAGAACATCACTCAGCACTGCGCTAGTATTGACATAATGCAGATCCGAAGAGTGTGGGAAGAGTGATAACGCAAGAGATATTGCAGGACAAAGGCCTTTCCTTAGCCAGTAGGTTGGTCTATGCCTCTTGCTCCATTTGGCCAAGTGCCTTACCGATTGCATACCCTCCTGAAATCTGCTAAGTTCCAAATACACATTCTGCCTTTAGCCTGTATTCTCACGCAGCAGATAAGTGACAGAGTGCAGTCTTCAAGCTGAACCAAAATGTCATTCTAGCATTCCCTTCTGAAACCACAATGGAGTCTTTTGTCCATCTATAATTCAAGACAGCAGTATAGACATCCCTTTTCTATATAAAGAATCCTCATTTATGTAAATGTATATGGGGTGCAAGAGGGACAACAGAATCTTAGCAAGGCAAGTAACCATTTTTGAATGTCACTGTTTAACAAGTTTTTTTTTTTCATGCAGATGCAATGCACACAAATGTGACCTTGAGAGTGATGGTTGTTCCTTACAGAAGCATAAACTCACTGTTTCCAATATCATGTGGTCTTCATTGTTTTCCTGTTGTCACAAATGAACAGAGCTACAGTGCTGTTTTGGAAAGGTCCATAGAACTATAGAAGTAGAGATAACTCAGAGGTAATTTCTGTTTCAGGAGACTAAATTACCTTTGAAAAATGTTTGGAAATTTCTATTAATTTAGAATGCAGCAATTAATACTATAGTCCAGTAATACGCATTTTGCTCTTAGTGTCCCAATGTTGTTTCACCTACACTGATTGCCAATCTGCTTCTGAGCCCAATACAATGCGCTGGTCTTAACTTTTAACATACCCTGCTTTTCTTGCCTTTTGTAAATAATTTAAAGTGTGAACTGCCTGATCATTTTCTGCCTTAATGAAAAAATGTTTAAATAAAGACAGAAAATGCAACCACTTGCTTTTGAGAAGTTTCACTGCTTCCCTAAAAATGGGAATTGGAAGTGATATGGAAGACACTGATCTGGTTCACATTGCATTAAATCATGGTTTAACAATTGTTTATTGTAGCTGGCCATGTTTGCACAACATTAAGTCAAAGCCAAACCAATCACTTTATAGCTAAGCACTATATGTGGACTCTGCCAAAATAAATTTACAGCAATGTACTCAATGAATTAAAAAAAAATCTGCAAACAATTGCTATTTAGTTCCTGTAAAAGAGGGTAATGTATATTATGATATCTGTGGTTATGGTGCTAACTACTATTGCTTCTGGATGAAGAAGGCATTTCAGAGTCCTGTGAGCAAAACATTGCAGAATCTGCTGAATTAATCATTTTCAGCATGTTTCAAGGAAAAGACAAATTCAGAAAGATCACCTATACTGCAGCAAATTGTTGAGAAGAGGGAAAGGGTGTTCTGACAAGGAATATTCCTACCTCCTAACTCTGCACCTCCAACTCCTAATCACTGTGGCTAGAGGCTTGTATTCATTAGACCAGTTAGGCCCAAAGAACCATCAAATTCAGTAAACTATCAGAAAATACAGTGGGCTACATTAAATAACAGCAAGGGGAAAACTCAATTTTAAGCAAAGTTGCTTAAAAATCACTGCAATTAATAATAACCAAATGGCATCATTTGTCTTAGGTAGTAATCTTTCCCACCATCCCAAAAGACAGGCCAGTAGTATTATTTCATATTACAAATAGATAGTTAAAGTTGAAGGAAATAATGGAAGCAAACCAAAGGCTGAGTTCATTTGCAATATGATTTGTTTGGTTTTGTGAATTCAGCATGCTTCTGGACATTGTCTGAATAAATTTGGGAGGCTACGTGCTTGATGATGCAAATGACTGAACTCCTGCTGGAAGCTGAAAGAATCTGAAATTGTTGTTATAGCAGTAAAGTCAATACACAGTTGTATTGTAACGCCCTGCTCTTTTCAGTTTAAAAAAACAACAACACTGGCCAATTAGAGTAGGACCCAATTCCACTTTATTTTCTTGACATCACTGGAATATATTTTAGCCACCCTTGAAAACATATGTTAAAAGAAACCATTATAAAACCCTTTGAAGGGTACAGTATTATCCCCATTCCCCAAGTGTCTGATGCTCCAAATCAGCAGATTCCTGAATCTCACATCTCACACTCTGGCTTTCCAGCAAGATAGCAGCCAATCTAAAAGCCAATAAAGATTGTTGTGCAGTAACCATTTCACATACAGACTATATAGATTGGCTTGCTATCTGACCTAAACGCTTTGTGCAGAATTTCTGTAATATGGCCAATTGTTCCTAGAGGCCACTATCTGAGGTCAGGCGGCTGTTCACACATCACAGCTGACCCATGTAACAACGAAATGGGTATGTTCTACAAACGCTCCACCTACAGCGTGGAGCAATCCCTGCACAGTAACAATGTTATGCGGCCTCTGTACGCCCATCATAACAATAGTTCACATTTGTGCTGAAGATGGGGGAGGCTCTATACAATAGTTCCCTCTTTGGCTTTATAATGAGGACATCTATATAAGTTCTGTTTATCTTCCCCATTCAGAGAAAGGCTATACAAATGACCACCCCGCTCCAGATCTTAATAAGATGGGTTCAAGAGCCACAGTGGAATTCACTAGATTCTTCTGCTCAAATTCTATTTTGGAACTAATTCTGGAAGTTGTATTGCTGGTTGCTTGAGTCAATCTACAATTCAATTTAGATACAGCCACAAAGCATTTTTTGTTTAAAAATTAGAACAGTAACAATGGCTATACATACATTTGGAAAGTGGACTTTGATCCTCCGATAGAAATCTCTTCTTTCCTTTTACAAAAGAAAAAAATCTAATTAGACTGTGCTTTAAAAAGGCAAATGATGGATCCGTCATCTTGTGTTTGCTTCACAAAATTCTATAAAGAAGCTTGTCTTGGGACTTTTTGCTCTCCTCTGATCCACAGTCTTCAGTTTCCAGGATGTTCTGCATTTTCCCCCAAATTGAAAGACAACTGCTGGGACAATAATTACAGGCGCTTGGAAAAAGGAAGTAGTCTACAAAGAATTAGACAAAGTCTTCTACCAGGTCAGTCAGCCATTACACTTCACAGTTCATCATGCTGGAGATGTAAGGCGTGGTCACAAAGATCTATAAAAGAAGCATCAGTTCCCATTACTACAAGAACTTCCAGCTAGCCGACATGACTAGTCCACACTTACCCAATATAATATTAGTAACAATTCCCAAGAGAAAATTTAATGACAGTAATCATACCTCCTCTATACAATCAGCAGTTTTTGACTTTGAATTACTTCCTAAGCCTGGGCTCACACTATCTCCTAAATCAGTTTCTCAACCTTGACAACTTTAAAATGTGTGGATTTCAATTCCCAGAATTCCATCATGTTTATGCCTGCCTGCCTTCCTTTCTCCCTCCCCAGGCTCTGCTAATACTACATCAACTCATTTTAAAACTTACCTCCAAACCCTAATAACAACTCAGATTATTCTCTTAGGACAAGAAGAAAACTCACAAAAAAGCTCTAACATTCTCATTCTAATTAATCATGTGTTCCCTAAGCCCATGCCTGCACAACTTATGACCCGGGAATCTTGATGTTGCCTGCACGCCTACCAGCCATGTTTTATTTCCTGAAACCTGGTCTAGCTTAAGAGGCCGACTTACAATTTTGTCAATCTCCATTTTTTCATTCATATAAAAAGCTGGATCCTTGATGACTCAAACATTGCCAGAGGATCAAGCAGAGTTTACTGTACTTATTATCTTCCTAATCAGTATGAACATCATGATCTAGCCATGCCACGTAATTCCAAGAATTCTGGCAAACTGATTGTATGGACAGATCATCAGGTGAATATGCAATTGATTTCACTCCACGTCAATTATTAAGGCCACTCCTTCAAGCCAACAGTAGCTGTCACCCTCATCTTGCTGCACTTAATAGTATTATATGGCTCTAAAGAATGTAACTTTCCATAGACTTCCTTGTCAGGTTTTAGCACAGAAATAAGGGTTTGTATGTTAATTTCTTAGCTGGCTGTTACAAAAGACTTATGAAATTGAAATCACAGCCAACAGGAAGTACTACACAGTGTTCTAACGGTCAGAAAATGGCTGCTGCTCTTTGGCTGTAGCACCGTGGCAAGTTTCCACTCCTCAAACACAAGAGGGCAAAGGACAGGTGGAAACAAGCACAGCCAGATATGCAATCCAAAAATAAGTCAATGCTATAGGAAAAGTCAGTTTCCTAAATGGCGTCTTGGCAACTGGATGCTTGTCACCTCTCCCCTAGCCAGGGAAAATACACAGAGAGAACGAAGAGAAAATAATCTCTTCTACTGTTTTAAGCAGCATATAGTTATAAAAGACTGTAAGCAGTTTTCAATATCCTCCCAATCCAGAGAATGATCATTGGAGTTTCTAGGACACTGGGTAAACCTCTACTTTGTAAAATCTGTAATGGAGGGTCAAAGGGGGGGTGGGGAGGGAATCTGGTGTTCTTCTGATATTGCTGAACTACAACTTCCAGCATTCTTCTCCATAGTTATGCTGACTGGAATTGCTGGAAAGGCTCCCCAACCCTTACTGTAGATAATTCATAATTTTTTTTTCTTAGCCCTATTCCAGAGGCAGCAATTCTATAGCCAACATGCAATCTTTCATGGGAAGACTCCAGACTTCCCATGAAATATTATAGCTTGATGTGTCAGGCTAGAATTTGGAATCACCAAATTAAAAGTATAAATTGTAATCTGAAATAGGTTTCCTGATTGTGATTTCAGCCAATATTTGAATTGGAAAACCAGAATTAATTAAACCATAATTGCTTCACCTCCAGATTTTGTGTGATGAAACTGAGAACTCCAAAGAGAAAAACAGAGAAAGATTTTAAAGGTATATTCCTTTCTTGTCTTGTTTTTTTAACAGTAATTTTATTAAAGATTAAAATTACAACAGTAAAAACTAATACAAACTGAAAAAAATTAAAAGAATAAGAAAAAGTAGAAGGTACAGAAAAGAAAACAAAAAAAGGAAAAAAATAGAAAGAGAATTAGAAAAGAAAAAATAAGAATATAGTGAAGAAGAAAAAAAAGTGACTTCCCACCTTCATCACAAATATAAACAATTTTAGTAACTTATCACCTTCTCTTAAAATACAACAAATGATCTCTTCTTCCCATATCCCATTTCTTATCTATAAACAAATCCATAAAGCCTCATCATTTCAGTCCTGATGTCAGCAAAAGTCCGTTAAGGGTTACCAGAGATAGCAACATATCTATTTTAACCTTAATCAAATAAACCAACTTTATATTCCTTCCTTTTACTTCTAACAATCTTGATTTTTAGTCCTTCCAAATAGAACTTGATTTCTTTTCATTTTTTCTTTGTCCCTTCTCACAAAATTCTTCAAAACTTTAACAAACCTCTTTTGTAAATCCAATACAGGATAATTATCCAGGTCACTCTCTTGGTTAGTTGTTTGTACATCTCTTTTAATTATTAAGACATTAGTTGGTTTCTTTTGTATGTCCAGTATAACATCTTTTACCATGTCATTCTTGTAGCCTGTCATTTTTAAATCCACTGCAAGTCAGTCTCAATCTTATCAGGTAGAACTTGTTCCTCTTCCATAACATCCTTTAGACACAGTCTGTCTATAGGATGGGGAAGAAACTGCGGACTGAATACAGCTCCATGAAGAGCAGAGCTGACGACTGCGGCAGAATGAAGAGCCAGCGAATATACTGGCTCTTCAACAACAGGCAGCAAATAGACCACCTCTCTGGACAAGGAGAGGAATTGAGATCACCCACAAGTGCTCTAGAGAACTGTTTCTCACAAGGAGACTGCAAGATAGCAGTCTGTGATGGGTTTAGAGCTCTGGGACATGAGGGAATAACCAACTTGCTCAAATCGTGGTTGGTGCCTTTGAAAGGACACTAAATTTGCATTTTTTTTTCTTATCACTTTCGGAAATTGCTTGTTAACTGCTTCTCAGCTATTAGGAACCTTTGGACCTACAAGTTTTACAGCACCGAGTGAGTTTCCTTCAATCCTTAGCGAAAGAAGTCTGAACTACAAGTTTAAGAATTTAAAAATATTTTGGGGGGGAACAGCAAAAAGGTAATTAAAACTTTGATTTTAGAAAGTTACAAATGGACTAAGGGTCCAGATAAATTTGAAATAACATTTTGGAATTAATCATAAAGAATCTTTCCCACTGGAAAATGCTTTTGTTTTGAATTAAAAAAAACATAATAAGACTTAAACACTGGACACTAGAGGGAACTAAAGATTACAATTAAAGAAGATCATTGAAACTCAATTTCCAATTACAGAATGAAGCAAAATATTTTAACATTGGATGTACTGAAGGATATTTTTGAACAATGGACTCAGAAGTTAATTTTAATAGTGTCTTTTCTTGCCTTAACATATTCATTTGTATTGTACTGCATTGCTATTGCTTCTCCAAGGATCTCAAGATGGTATGGATGAATTCTTTCTCCTCAGCTCAAGGAATTCTTTATGTTTTACACAAGAGGTAAGTCTGACTGAAAAGAGGATCACCAGCCCAAAGTTACAAGAGATATTCACAGGCAGAAAAGGATTTGAACTGTTATCTCAGCCCTACATTGGTCATTGATCTGGTCATTAGTCTGTTGCAAGCTAGAATTATGATTTGCATTTGAAATGATTACATTTGATGTGATGTCTGAAATGAAGCAGGAACCTTGTTTTCTACTGAGGGATGTCTTCCACCAGGAGGGCCACATCTGGGTTAAAAGCCAGATTCCAAAGTAAGCAGAGCCAAAACTTTTCTTTTCCTTCGGCCTTCATCATCTCCCCTCTATCCCTCTCTGGTAAAGAAGGATTTTTTTCTCTTACCAACTGTCTGAGCTACTTGTCTGCAGGTGGCTTTTGAAAGGCGGGGGGATGCCATGAATAAAAAAAATGACCAACTTACAGTTACTGTTAAAAGAGGAAGAGAAAATGCAGAGCAATTTTGACTGAAGTAAAATATTGTTTTGGTAGTGGATGAAGACGGACAAGCAAAAAGCCTCCAGCAGAGTGAAGAGCATTAAGAATAAAAGCAATGAAATGATTTGGGATGAAACTGAAGAGAAGAAATACTGGAAGGAATATTTTAGAAATTCGTATGGAAACAATCGTGATATGTCAAAGAGTAAAACTGAAAGAAAAAGGAAGCATGAGCGAATGCAACAATTACAGGGGATGAATTTGTTATGACAGCCTGGGAGGGTAGTTGGCAGAATTCTGATTAAGTGATACAAGGGTTGACAATCAGCAAGATTTGAGAAGTGCAGAACAGCTTCATGCTATGTAAGGGATGTGCAAACTAGATTTTTTTCCTTTTCAGCAGGTCACTGAGAAAGATGCAAGAACATTTATTATACGTTTGTTGATTTAGAGAAAGCACAATAATGTGAACAAGCTTGAATTATGCAATGTTTTGTTGGTTACCGAATACAAAAATAAGGGCGCGGTACTAAAGAAGTACACTGAGATGGTTTGGTCGTACAGAGAAAATGAATGAGGATTCAATCACAAAAAAAATTATGAAGGAAGAGTGAATTAGTTGAGAGGAAGGGAAAGACAGGAAACTCATGATTGGATGGAGTTGAAGAGATCCTGAAAAAGACAGAAGTGAGAAGTTTAAAGAACAAAAGACAACATATGAAACCATGTATGTATGTGGTTATAGTAAAAGTAGTGGTGTTTTTATTTTGTATGCACTTAAATCTAAGAGCAGTACAAAGAGACAATAATAAAAAATTCATAACTCCTCTGAAAAAGAGAGAAATACTCTTCTAGCATCTACCATCCAAAATATTTTCCAAGTATTTTTATAATATTTTAAAGTTAAAAGTCAGCTGACCAATAAACCCTTTATTTGACATATATTCCACCTTTCATTCAGAAGCTACAGACAGCGTACAAAGGGTTCCCTCCTTCTATTTTCCCTACAATCACCACCCTATGAGGTAGGATGAGCTGAGAAAATGACTGCCCAAAGTCACGCAGGGAGCTTCCAAGCTGAGGGTGGACTGTACCCTTTTTAAACTGGTCGGTATGCTTTTAATTTAATTTGCAATCAGCAAACGACTGCAGACCAATTCCTGCCTTTCGTGCCACAATGATGGTCAAGTAAAGCTATGACAGACCACATCTTTTTAATCTCGACCGTGCTACTGATTCTGTGCTTACCTGTTCGTTTGCTGCATAGCCGGTCCTTGACATTTTCTGCTTCGTGGGAAAAGAATTCTATGAGCTCATCTTCGTACTCTTCAGCTATCTTCTCACACTGTGAGGAGAACCAAGGAATTCAGCTAAGCAGCTTTTTCACACCTCTGCTTCTTATTCCCCCAGGTCTACTGGCCAAACCAATTCTAAAGCCCAGTAAGGCTAGACCAACCAAACCCAAAGCAGTTGTCACAACTCTCTCCTTCTGCCAAACTGCACTAGAGAGAAAACACAGTCCATTGGAAGGAAGGAGAGGTGGTCAATTGGCATAATATAGCTTGTTCTTTTCAGAAGCCACGGACAGGTTATTCTGAGGACCCCTTCTTTCTGGATGCAATTCCATTCATTATATGTGGAAGTCAAATATGTATGCCTTCACATCTCTCCAAATTTCCCTCCACAAACAAAACAATCACAGGAACACATGAGTAAAAGGACTGTGCATGCTTTGAAAATGATTTGGAAAAGGCGCTTCAGCACACAAGAGCATGAGTACAGCACTTCCTTAAAGCACCTGTGCCTTTTTTCAGGTTCCACACAGGAGTTGCATTAAGGACATGGCCACCTTAATGTGAGTTGGCTCATTAAAGCAGCTATATAAGTTTCAATCTTGCAACTGGAGCCCCAAAAAGACATGGCTGTGTTAAAGAGGTGCTATGCTCTTACATTTTCTGAAGCAACTTTTTTGAAGCAGTCAGAGCTCCTCTTTTGCTGGCCCTACACTTGAGAAACAGCAATCTGAGAAAAAGAAGACAATCATGTAGCTCTCGACTTAAGCAAAGAAAACATTCCCAAAGCTTTAGAAGCAGAAGGGAAGGGAGATGGCACTCTCATTTTCTAAAGCTCCCCCTTACATTTACTGTATTTTCATAGGGCAACCTTGCACGTGGACTCCAGAGTACCACAGAGTTCAGCAATGTCTTAGAAATAAATGTTGTCTTCTTTTATCCTTTCTGGATGTCTCTTCTAGTTATGCTTGTGATGCATAGTCTTTGGTGTAGGAATATCAGTTTTGCTTCCTCAATGTATCTTGTCGTCAGGCCTAGCCCAAGGAACTCCAAGAGACCATGTAAATTCAGTCCACCAATGTTTATTAGCTACAACC